AAGAAATCAAATGTCGGACATTGAGAGGTTAGTTTTCGACACATGTTCGCGCACTCGTAGCGACGTAAGTCCATCAGTTTACAATAGTAAACTTTTATAAATGAGATTTAAAAAATATTATGGGCGCGATTAGCGTATTCAGTGGTGATGCTAAGTACCATTCCTCTAGGAGTTTTTTCGTTACAGTTCTGCTGCTTCTAAACAAAGCATTTTTTCGGAAACTAATGAAATTATTTTAGAAAATGGATAATTTAAAGTGCTGCAATAAACGGGACATATTTCAGTGCATGGGCGAATGAAAAATGGCCAATGTGAATGCAAGCCTGGGTGGAAAGGTCCAATTTGTAACGAATATTATGGGTGCCCTGCAGGGTTCTCCCTTTACAACAGCGTGTTGGTTTTGTTATTTCATTCGGCGCTGTGTGTTTTGCAAGAGTGTGAAAAATTATGTCCTGCTGTGAAAAAAATCTTTTCAGAAGTGATAGGATAGCTGTTTATAAGGATTCTTATTAGCCGACTAACGAGTATCCTCGATGAACAGTAACTGAGGGAATAAATAGCAGCACACACCAGAGCAGCCAGCGCGAAATCATGCGTTTTATGCAGATCGCAGTTCTGCCAGCGAGCACTTGCTGTTAAGTACATTCACTGCTTTACAGCTTGATACGGCGTACGCGAGACCCAGGCTTAAGTGGAAACTGAATTTAAATTTCTGGAATCGCACAGGGGCTTGGAATATTATCCTAAAGTTTCAGCTTCCTAGCTTTTCTTGTTTCCAAATTGAAAACCCCGCGTAGAAAACAGTTTGAACACAAGTACGTACACAAACGTACACGCAAACACAAATACACACATAAATACAAGCACATACACATGAACATACAAATAGGGTCTCAACAATATGCGTTTTGAAACTCCTGTAGCACAAAAGGCATAACTGAAGTGAAAAGTAATTACAGAGCAGCTACCCGCATTTTTGCCCTAAGCCGACTGCTGGACTGAGCAGGCGAGTGTTTGAAAAGCATCAGATAGCGATGAGCTGGGTGCTGTACTGCTAGCACTTTTCTATGAAGGATTGGTGGTAATTATGTGGAAATTCTTAAGGAAGCGGATCTGGACTGTTCCACAGGATTTTTCCATCCCAGTTCGTAAAATAGCCCATAGGAGCGTGAGATAGGAAGACCTTTACGCTGCCTAAGCTTTTCATAGCCTGGTTTGATTAGTTATTTCGTAAGCTGGATTGGGAAGTGATCCGGGAATAAATAGAGAGGAGCTACAACACTTGTGCTTCGCGGATGGCGTAGTTCTTAATGTGAGAAGCCCTAGCGATAAGTGCAAAAGCTTGACGTGCACATGGAGTGAGCTTAAAAATTGACATACAAAACGAAGTTGATTCAAAATATCAGTGCAGCCAGACTGCATTTCTCTAATGCGGAACAAGTCGTCATTCACGTTTATCGTGGCCAGAAGTAAACATGCGACACAATCTCCAGCCAGAGATCACATTGGAAGGATTAGCGCAAATTTCGCGACATCGTCGATGTCCTCAGAATGTCGAACCAGAAGGACCGTGCCTATCTCTTTAATTACAATTGTGCTAAAGGTAGTGATGTATGGATGCGAAACTTAGTCACTAACAAAAGTTAAACAGCTAGCACTAGCTGAGGCGGTGGGAGCGATGGAACGAAGGGTGCTTTGAGCGTTCCTGTGTACCGCATAAACAGGCAAACTTTCCGTAAGAAGATCAACGTGTAAAAAAATCCCTCGGGCGGCTCCGAATAGATAGCGTGCATAAAATAAACAGGCCTTCGATACTTACTGCAGATATGCTTCTCAGGGTGGAAAGGATTAGCGTTAGACATGTAATATTCCCACACCAATTGTTCAAGTGTTCCTGTACTGAAAGTGGAAAGAATGCGCGATCGAGATGGTGCGCATTAGTTTGAAAAAATCACATAATTGTTCTTTTCTTTTCTTTGCACATGTATCCACAGCTAGCACCTTCTTATACGGTTTTGCTTTGCAGCGCAATAGCGCTGCTACAGTGAGCAGAAACGCATATTGTCGAGAGGTCGTACGTGTGTGTGT